TTCATAAAGTAGAAATAACAGTTGTAGAATCAAGCAAATGAGAAACTATGTTATGCTTTGGCAGCATATGAGAGTACCAGATAAAATAATTTGGTATAAGACATTACAGAACATTCATTTGTTATCAGATATTTTTAGTAGACATCAGAGATTTTGTTCACTTCAGTTACTGGGCCTTCAGTTCCTAAAGGGGAAGAATCCATCAGGACCATTATTTTCAAAATACTTCTTATTCATTAAGCTGTTCTTATTAACAGGTAACTAGTCAAGCAACAGATTCATCTGTTCACTTGCACAGTTCACCCATATTCATTCATTACCTGGTTGGAGCCATCTCAGCTGTATACTCAGAACTCGAGGACCATGTGAACACACCAGTAGCTTCTAGGTAGGTGTTCAGAAAGTTCTTCAAAGTGTCCTTTATTTCTCCAGGTGAAATAAAGACCCTGGAGTCTTCATCTGCACATAGCATTCACTGCTTTCTTGGCAGTGGTTCAAGACACTCAGCAGACTCTTGGTGTTTGGAGTCCTCAGCCCTTGTGGATTTAACAGGACTTAAATTCCACAGAGCTATCAGTCTTTGAGATACTTTCAAACACTACCTTTTCACAGGACTTTTTGTTTCTTCAGCATGCTGTCTTCTAATAACTCTTTCTCTACCTAAATCTACAGATACCAACAGAACCCAGTGACAGAAACTCACACAGGAAGGGCCTTTATGTCACATATCTTTCCCACAACTACAAGCTTGATATTTCACTCTATTGCAGTTGTAGAGTCATGGTAACAGTCCCAAGAACTGACTGGGTTGTCATCCAGTAACACTTCCGACCTACCGAACCTGGCCTTGGTTCTGTGATTTGTAGACCATCTGTCTAAAAGGTCTGGGCATACATTGTTACCCACTTCAGTCAATGGGAGTTTTATGGTGTGTTTCACAGTTTTCAGTGTTCATTGTTCTAGACACCATCCAACGCTAAACCATCAAAGTATAACATGAAAAAGAAATAGTACAAGCACACTAGATCATCCACAACCTTCATTTCTAAATTCTACAAAACATATCTGCGGAACCTTAAAAATGTATCTGCTCTCAGGCAAACTTACAGGTATCCACTGAATTCCTCTGATGGTTTACGCCACACAGTTGCATCTTTCTGAAAGAGAATGGAAGATATCATGCTAATTGTCATTTACATGCAATTATAAGATGTCCAGAAAATGCTTTGGTTTTTCTGAAGAAAAGCAAACGGCTTTACTATTAACCATGGTTCACCCCAAAGTGTTGGTTGATCTGGGCACTTTTGTACGCATTTCTTAAGAAAAGAAGCAGATGTTTCAGGCATCTTTTACTGATAATTTTCTACTCTTTAAAAAAGATCAGTCAATTGCCTTTCTCAGTGTCAAAATGCTAGAAGTCTGCATAGAAACAGGGTTTGGTAGGCCAAGCTAGTTTACTAAGAAAATGTAGGATAATGGAACCACATTACTAGGTAAAGCCTTTAAATGAAAAAGCAACTGGAAAGCCATTAGCTGGACACTGTTCAGACAGGAAGACCACACAACTTCTGACTGCACTCCTGTAACACATGACCAAGCAGATGTGCGCAGGAGGTGCTTACAGTGGCAGACAAGAAAGCTTAAATTATCCTTCTGTCCTAGATGCCTGACTAGAAGCGTCTTGGAAGCAGGAGTCTATTCATTTTAAATTTAGCCAGAGAAAATAAAGAAAACAGTATATTTTTATTTTTCTCTAACTATGAAATGGAACCTCTGTACAAAATATTTGAATTTCTGTGTTAAAGAGAGTACTGTATGGCATCTTTTTATTTGGAATCATGATTACATAAGCACAAAGGACCACATGTCCAGAACAACAGTACTGTAAGTACTGCATCCAGAACTGTTTAAGGTATTTTGGGGCAAAACACATCTCCCTGGCAGGTAGCTAACGCTCTGAATTTCTTTTACGTGGCACAGTACCAAAACACAAACAAGCAAGGAAGGAAGTCCAACTAGAAATTTTACAGGGGTAAAATTTGGGTAGTAATGTGATCAGAAACAGTGAGATTCACGTAACTTCCTAAAGGGAAACAATGGTATAGGTGTAAGACTTAGCATTTAGCAGAGCAGAGGTGGTACAGGTGTTCTGCAAAAGCGAAAGGCTTGGATACTGTTTTCCTCCCTTTCAAGACAGTGAATTTGTCAGTTTTGCAAATAATCAAGTTACATATGGAACACTTGACCCTCTTTTATCAATGTCTGCTCACAAAGGAAAAAAAAAAAACCAAAAACTAAAAGACCCACCCAAACCATTGTAACAAAAGGGCAAAGATAGAAATTTACACTAGTCCTACCACATTGCTACACTAAGATACCAAAATACACTTCTACCTCCCATGCAGGACAGGAGTAAAAAGTACTTACCCAGCCTAGAACTGATACACCACCAAAGTCTATTTAACTTGATGAAGCAGGACTCAGAAAAGACAAGCAGCTCAAAAGAAGGGTATGGCAAACTGCTTGGAGAAAGCAGGAACTGCATTTCCTTTCATGGAAGGAAACATGATAACGTGGGGGCTCTGAAGGCAATGGAAACATGAAGCAATATAAGAGAAAGAATTGAGAATGATCTTTAAAAGGAAGACACTTGGAAGCTGAAGCGTGATGGGTTCAAGCATTATAGACAAAAGAGATTCCAGAGACCAGCAGCGCCTATCTGCAGGCTGCGGCTGGTTTGTTAAAAGTACAAGTGAGCATCTTGCAACACTGCCAGTATTAACAGTATTTCACCTTTTGCTTTAACAAAAGTCAACAGTCCTCCACAGGTAGGGTTCTTGTGTGAGATACTTCCCTGAAAATGGGTAGAAGGCATGACAGAGTATGCCTGTGGACCAAAACCACACATTCTGTCATCTAAAAACGTACTACCCTAGAAGGGCGGTTTCACAGGGCCTCTCATATCAAAGTCCCCCAAGAATTTGCCAGGTGCATCACACCCGTGCTCTATGCCATAATAAGCTCTCCCCCCCTTACGCCCAAACGACCTACAGCTTCCTTGAGAGAAAAAATCGGGCCGCGCGCACGAAGCCGCCCGG